GAGGGGTTCAGATCTGACACATTTCCCCCTGTAAAACAATACATAAATTGATCTATTCGAAATACGCGCAGACAGCTTTTATTAAGCACCTAATGTGAAGGAGCGCTAGTGCTATAGTGCTTAAAGCTTTTGACTGTTAACCAGAAGGTTGGTGGTTCAAACCCACCAGCCACTCTGCGGAAGGCAGGCCTGGGCAATCTACTTTCGTAAAGATTTACCGCCTGGGAAACCCAAAGGGGGTCGCTATGAGTCTTAATCAACTGGATGGCAGTGAGTTTGGTTTTTTGGTTTTAACGTTAAGCAGACACTTTTTGTTAAGGGCTAGAAACGCTAGTTAAAGAGTCATTTTAAAAGTTGTTAATTTCCTTTCCCAAATGTCAACTCGTGATTTAAAATGGGTTTAACCGGACAGGAGAACTGTTTCCCGGGCCCTTAAAAGAACACAGCCGGAGCGAAGAGATTCTTCCTCCAATCAGGACCAGCCTTCGCTCTGTTACAGTCAAAGTTTTCAACCACAAGATGGCAGAGCTCTCTCTAGGATGAAAGGTTTGCGCCAACCTGGTTTAGCAAGACTCTGCAAAGCGAAAAACCCTAAATGCGTTGCCATCCAGTCATTTCCGACTCACAGCGATGCTATAGGACAGAATACAACTGCTCATAGGGTTTCAAGACTGTAAATTTATATGGAAGCAGCCTGCCTCCTCTTTCTCTGGGAAGTGGCTGGTGAGGTCCAGCAGCTGACCTGACAAACCAAACCAAACCAAACTCACTGCCATCCAGTGGATTCCTACTCAGTGACCCCCACTGGGGTTTCCTACGCGGTGAATCTCTACGGAAGTAGATTGCCCAGTCTTCCTTCAGCAGAGTGGCTGGTGGGTTTGAACCACCAACCTTCTGGTTAGCAATCAAATGCCATAAGTACTAAGCCACCAGAGACAAGGGCGGTACAAAATTGAAGTATGTTACGATTTGAGAAATGTATACCCTATGGAATGTGAAGTGTTTGATGTTTCCATTTTCTGGACTCCGGTCATAAAAGAGCTCTTAAAGACGGAGATCTTTTTTTGTGTGTGTGGAAATACAGCTTACCTCAGTTCTTTTCAAACTGTGATGAAGGGCCAGTTATTTTTCTTCAATTCTTCCCTGACCAGTATGTGGTCCAGTGTGACTAGTAGGTTCTCTGGTAGCTTAGGACTCATCGTTTTGACAACATCCAAAGTGCTCTGCACTAGGTTTGAAAAACAAGAGTCCACTGACCAGGAGTTTGTATATCAGAATAAAGTGATGCAAAACTTTTGCCAAAGTGATGCAAAACTTTTCTAATCGTTTTCAACTTTTGTACTTACAAGCCATGTGCAGATGGTCTTTGCACATGCCCTTCAGTCATACTCCTTTCTGTGATTTCTTTGTTGCTCTCAGAAGGGAATTTTAAGAAATAACTCTTCCCTGTAGTAATATGCAATTTTTTTCTTAGTTAAATTTTGTAAAGAAGAAATAGTTTTTCTTTCTTAGTACTTGATATTTCCTAAATGAGAACAGAAGAAAGTATGACTTCTTCAAATAGAATAAGGTCATAAGAAACAAATCCTTTGAAACAAATCCTTTCATTAAAAGATCTAATTTTAATTTTGCTGGATCATGTGGACATTTTAACTATATCCATAAAATCTAGGTTGGTCAGAAATATGAATGAGTAGTGAAGGTGAATATGATGACGATTTAATTGAGAAAAATAGTAGCATTAAATTTTAAGAGGGCTTCTTTCTTTGAAAGTTGTGGTGCTTATGCTGTGGACTATACCACTGGGGAAGGAAGATGGGGCAATCTACTTCCATAGTGATACTGCCTCGGAAACCCAAGGAGGGGTCGCTATGAGTCGGGGCCGACTCCAAGGCACATAACAACAACAACAACAATACCACTGGGACTTCATTCTTCTCTGCACCCTTAGCCGAGGTGAAGAAGAGAAAGGGTGAGGAAGAAAATGAGTAGATAATAGTCATTGAACACTTTCCTGAAGGCCAGCTTGTTTCCTAAGTACTTGCACTAAGTACCTGTTGCTGTCAAGTGAATTCGAACTCATAGGGACCCTATAGGACAGAGTAGAACTGCCCCATAGGGTTTCCAAAGCTGTGATCTTTATAGAAGT